AAACTTACGTCTCCTACCACTTGAGCTCAACATGATCTACGAGTGAACTGGAAGACCTGGAAGGAAGAGATACTTTGTTCTTCTCTTGGAGGCAGATAACACCTGAGAAGTCCATCCAAACTTCTTTTTGTTCCCTGCTACGTCCTAAACAGTCAGAATCCATATGCTGTGAAGTCATATTTTAAACTTAGGCCAACTTCCTGCTTTCTGTACTTAGGAACATTCTGATGATCAGACCCACGTTCTCTGTCGGGCCTTAGACTTCTGACTCCAAAACTCCCAATTTTTGGAAGTGGTTCATGATTTCTGCTTCCACTTCTCATTTAAAGCCATGGTTTGGTCCCTCTTGGCTTTTGATTTTAAGTGCCCTACTTGTAATCCATTCAGGCTGAAAGGGAACTGAGAAATCGGAAGTATTTTATGTTCCAGGCTGCAGGCCTTATGAGGTGATGACAGTGTTCTATAGGGATATCTGTTCTGCTTTTCCTATTGAAATCAGTGGAATAGCTGGAGCAGAGTGCTTAAAAGGGGCAGAGAGCACATGAAACTGCCTCCAAGATAAAGCTGAGAATGTGACGATGGTGTGTATCAGCCCGGCTCAAGGAGGTGGGTGCTGGAGAGCAGGCTGGGGAGGCAAGGAGGAACTGACGGTTTCTACACGTCTATGCAGAAGAAAAAGCCAAGGGGGCCAAGAAATGAAAGAAATAGTGATTAATTTGAATAACCTTTATTGTAAACATCTGAAGGCTGACCTTTTTGAATAGGAGCAAGTGATGGCCATTGTCAAGGGCTGGGGAGCCAGTCATTGAGCTTGTGGGCAGGGGGTGAATTCCTTACTCAGGCTCTTCTCAGGGTGCCTGCAGACCGTTCAGGGGCCTTGCTGGGCTTTCAATTTGCAAAACAAACCCAAATCTGCTTTTTCTTCCTTTGAAAGATGATAACAGAAAGAATTGGGGAATACCTATTTTGATTCCTTTACTTATTTCTCTCCGTTTGTAATTATTTTGTTTCTGTATCCAGTTATATTAATAATACATCTGTCTGTTCTGAATCCTCCTTTACGTTGTTAGAGTGGAAATTCATCCTGCTCATTATTAATATATTATCTCTTTATCTGAAGTTCTGGATGTACCAATGTATTACGGGTGTCATAATGTACCTGGAGAGAGCCGATAGCTGTGTTATATTCTGCTGAAAATCCACGTCTTCATGATCATTTAACATCCATTGTTATTGGCTTTGACAACAAATAAAGCTACTTTGTGGTTACTTGAAGCAGGCTTTAAATTCCATGGAGGATGGAATTATACATAATGCATCTCTATAAATATTTGTCCATTGGAACATTCATTCATAAATGAATAAATCTACTTTATGTCAAGACCTGGGCTCTAGGGAGACATTAAGGAATCCTTTGTCCTCCTGGAACTTCAAACTATAATTTGAGGATTATAAATTAGTATCTTTATTTGGAATATAAAATAAATTCCTATATGTCAGGACTCAGCACAGTGTGGGTACGTAAGAGACATTTGTTGACATGTGTGGATTTATTGGTTAACCCAGCAGAGCTTGGATGGGTCTGCAAGGGCTGTGTTTCTGTTCATCTGTTTTCATTGTCTCCGTAATCATTAGCTAGGAGTTGCCTTTGCTTCCTCCTGGGGGTTCCAGATTCAGATCACTTTATGCCAGCCTTACAGTCCTGGGGTTAATATAACATCTGCAAGTTTGGGCTTCAAGCCTTTTCTATACCCTCCACTCAGAGACTCCTAGAAACTTATGGAAAATTTATGTTGAAAGATACTTCATGGAGCAGAGCATTCTGGGACCCAGTACATTTGGGAAACACTGGGTAAAACTGTCTTACCAGATTTCTTCGGCGTGAGACTTCTCAGCCTTTATGTGCTTTCTGCGTCTCTGATCAGCTTAGAAAACGCACAGTTTTCCGAATATCTTTGGACACACAAATGTTTATAAAAAAGCGTTGTTTATGAAAAAGGGTTCTTGAAGCATTTTCTGAGGGTCCAGTGTTTTGCATAATTATGTTGGAAAGTAGTGCAATGGCCCCACACTCCTATTGTCCAGGCCAGGAAACTTCCAACAAAGATTCAGTGACTTGTGGAAAGGCTGGGAGACAGTGAATGGCTGCTGCGACTAGAACCTAAGTTTTCACTCAGCCAGTCTGGTGTTCTGTCCACCATGGCGTGCATTCTCTTCTGTTCCTCTCTCGTTTTAGTTCCTTTCTGCATCTCTATGGCCTCAGCCAACCGGTGGCTCTTTATTCTTTGCATCGTCGTTTAGACCATTTTGGAAGAGTAAGAGTGGGCTCTCTCAGTGCTCCATGTTCTGATGAATTCTTTCCTCCAACAGTTTAGCATTTCAGCCTGCTGAAGGCAGCCCCTCCATGCCTTATCCTTGGCCTGTCCTGGTCTAGGCTTGAGCTTTACTGTAAGCGTGAATCCCTGGTTACTCTTCCAGCCCAGGTCCTGTTTCCCACTTAGCTCCGTCAGGGTAAGCCTGCTAGTTTGAAGTCACTATTATGTAACTTGTTTGTTCTTTTGGGTTAGTAATATTTGTGTTTACTCCAAGCTCTGTTCACCTGAGCAGGTTTTATCAGGCCTTCTCTTTTTCTAATTTTAGTTTTAATTTTTTGATGTACAGTGCTGTGCTAGTTTCTGGTGTACAGCATAGTGAGTCAATTATATATGTGTATGTGTGTGTGTGTATATATATATATATTATTTTTTTTTTTCATTCCAGGTTACTACAGGCCACTGAATATCATTCCCTGTGCTATGTAGTCGGGCCTTGTTGTCTATTCTGTACATAGTAGCGTGTATGTGCCGATCCCAAACTCCCAGTTTATCCCTCCCTCTCCCCTTCCTCCTACGGTAAGCATAAGTTTGTTTTTTATGCCTATGAGTTTCTTTCTGTTTTGTAAATAAGTTCATTTGTGGCATTTTTTTAGATTCCACATATAAGTGATATCATATGATGTTTGTCTTTGTCTGACGTATTTCACTTAGTATAATAATTCTAGGTTCATCCAAGTTACTGCAAATGACATTATTTCATTTTTTTTATGGCTGAGTAGTGTTCCATTGTGTGTGTGTGTACGCGCGCGCACACACACACACACACACACACACACACACACCATTTTCTTTATCCATTCACTTGTCAATGGACCTTTAGGTTGCTTTCTAGCTTGGCTATTGTAAAAAGTGCTGATATGAACATTGGGGTGCCTGTGTCTTTTTGGATTAGTTTTCTCCAGATATTTGCCCAGGAGTGGGATTGATGGATCATATGGTAACCCTATTTTTAGTTTTTTAAGGAACCTCCATACTGTTCACCATAGTGGCCTCACCAGTTTACATTCCCACCAACAGTGTAGGAGGGTTCCCTTTTCTCCACACCTTCTCCAGCATTTGTTATTTGTAGACTTTTTGACATTGGCCATTCTGACTGTTGTGAGGTGATACCTCATTATCCGGCCTCCTCTTATCTCACGCCTATCTTCTGTTCCAATTCCATCAAGATCTATGCCAGTATTTTGAACTCCTCTGGCTGTCACAGTATGTTATTAATTTATGTAGCATTGGGCTGTAATAAATACCTGTCCATGGCCATTAAAAATATATAAGAAAAGTAAGTTGGTGATAAAAAATTTTTTAATGCCCCAAAGAAGGTTTGAATCAGTTATTTTATCCAGTGTCTATTACTTAATTTAAAATATTATGAGGCAGTTGACTGAGGCACCAAACTGCTGGACAATATTTTTTAGTGATTTAACTTTACTTTGGTTATGTACTTAGCTGATGTATTGTTTTTGTGATATTTTATAAAAGAAAATATATAGAATGAAATTTTGTTCATTTGTATTTATTTGCTCACCTTTTCTTTCTTTAGTAGTTAATATGATTCTATCTTTCCAAATACCTAGTTTTAATACGTTTAGGGTAGAAAGGCTATTATATGAAAAGAACTACAAATTATTTTAATTAAACCAGTAGTTTCTAACAATTGAAACTAAATTTAACTTCAGGGTGAGATGAGATTTCGCCATCAGTGTTTCTGCTAGAGATATTACCTGATGATGAAAAATGGTCCTGTCTTTATCAGAAGGCGCTAACCTCCCTCTCTCCCAAGCAAGAGTAAAATAAGCCTTAAATCCCCACAAATGGATAAAGAAAAAAAAATGATTCCCATATAGCCTGGCTTTTTATGTAATCCTTTACTTCCCTTTGGAGGAAGGTCTTGTTCATTGGCTAGTCCCAGCAAGAGACACATTTAATTGCTAATTCTTTGTTTTTGCTTTTTTTTGGTGTTATATTTATGATTACAAAAGCTTGTTTAAGGCATTATGGCTAAAAAAAATGTAGTCAAATGTACTGGAGCTCTTAAGAAACTTTAATAGGCTATCAAAAAACAGTGAAGATTTATTTAATGTCTCCCTTCTAGGAGGATATATTGTTGGTTCAGCTGCAACTTCTTAACTTCATCATATTTTATATACCTTGGCCATCATGGATTGCCACAAAGCCTGTTACATGGTGTGATTTAGAATGTGTTCTGATTAAGTACACAGAAGTGATCCTGTTTCCCAATGGAGGAAGGAGAGGAACATCATAAATATACATTGTTTAAGTGTAAATTCTACTTCGCACTCATAGGTTATATTGTACTTGCATGTTTTATGCTCTGTTGGTACTTAAAAAAAATTTAGTTGGGGGCATTTCCAGGGATCGAATCAAGAGCCAGGCAGCAGGGATCTACTTAGAATTCCCTCCTTAGAATTTGTAATGGGGCAGAATAAGGCAAGTAGAGGAAGTAAGCCCGTAGAACAAGTCTCTCCCATCTAATTACTCAAATCTCAGTCTACCAGCTCAAATGGGCAAGGACAATCACTTTGTTATTTCCTTACTTCAAGGCTCCCAGTTTGCCTGACAGGTAGAAATTCTGTTCACTCACTTGTTGGACTCTTTTCTTTTTTTCAGGGAGATCTCAGAATCTGGGAGGCCATGAAATGAGTAAAAGTCTTCTCATCTCTGGATTCTCACGTTCTCCTTGACATCCTTGTACTTCAACCACTGAGCGTTGATATCTGCTTGCTCTTTGCCTCCATGCTGGGTGTGCAGTGCAGGCATTTCTGCTGAGCCTTGTCTCCTGAACTGGGAAATTGAGGTAAGTAACTCCTTCTCCATGTTGAAGACAGAACTGTGTGTACCCGGTAGAAACAGCTCATGTGATGAAAGCAGTACAATAAACAAAGACTAAACAATAAATGGAAAACAGGCCCAAAACCTGTCTAGCGAGGGAAAATGTGGAGGGCCATGGAATGAAGACTTTTTTATTTTTATTTTTGTGGGCAATGATTACTTAATAAGTGCTGTTGTCTAACTGTTCTCATCACAAGAGAAACCAAATCTCTTTTGGACTCCTGCGAAGTATTCAGTTCACAGCCCTAGCTCTAATCTTAAAATCCTAGGGACCAGATAATTTTGGACTTTGTCAGCTTTACGAAGATAATACAATACATATACCATGTGGTCAAGGTTAGCACATTTTCACAAAACAAAATTTCTTAAGAAAATGTAAGTCACAAATATATTTTTCCCAAGTGAAATCAGTAAAGACTACAAGTAGCGTCACATTGGTTCAGGGCAGGTTTTATTGTCATACGAATTGAAACCAGGTCAGCTTTTGTGGTCAAGTAGTTATGAAAAACTTCCAGTGTTGAGGGATTTTCTATTTTGGAATTGCACATAGGGATTGCGGATCTTAAGTGGGAATCAAAAGTTGTTCCTAACTGTGTGAGAAGAGACAATGAAACATTCTCCATGCATAACCTGTCCACACCTCTTTGGTTATGTGGTATGAAGGTCATCTTTCTTCTTCATGCTGATTATTAGTTGTAGGAAAAAAATACCTTTTTGGCATTATGTCAGTTAAATGACATTAAAAAAACTTAAAAACAAACTAGTCTTTCTCATTCTATTTACTCTATGATGAATGAGGATCTACCTACTGTGTATCAAGAACTGACCTGATCACTGAGGATGCAAAGTCCAGGAGGATAGTGCCTTCACAGTAGTCTCCATATGGTGGGAGGGAGCGGTGAGTAAGTGCATAATGATAGACAATATGGCAAATGCTGAATTAGAAGAAAGCATAGGATGCCATGGGCACAGAAAAAGAGTAGCTAATTCAGACAGATGATGGGGGTGAGAGTGGGTTTGTGTGGATGAGGAAGGAGATGGCCCCAGGCTGAGTCTTGAGTGATATTTAGGCATCACAGGTGAGTGGAGGCAAAAATGGTGGGGTGCTGTTGGGATGTTCCAGACATATGGAGCATCATATGCAAAGACAGCATTAGAGAATAACAGTTTGGGAGAAGAGGGACCAGTGATGATGGAAGAGGAAGATCAGGTACCAGATGACAAAGAACAGCTTTGTCTGATAATCTGGACTGTGTGCCTCCATGGATCACCAAAGAAAAACTTACTCCAGTGCATTTAGGGAGATGGGAGCATCTGTTCCTGAGCTACAACCGAGAGCTCATCTGGTTTGGTCTGTTATTCACGCCGAAACAAGAGATTAGGCCCTGCTCTCTTGTAAGCATGAAGAAGGATCAAGAACCCTGGACCACATGTGGGAAGAAGCAGTCTGAAACATCAGCTGCTGGTGGCGGTGGAACAGCTGCTACAAGTCCTTTTCCAGGGAAGCAGAGAACGCACTGGACACACAGCCTCTGACAGACCAGTTTTCTACTTATAAACAGATCTCATTGAACCCAAAGCAAAAATAGACAAATGCAACTACATTAAGCTTAAAAACTT